GTTAGTAATACGGATAGGGTTATGCACACAGGTTTCAAGCGTACTCGAATTCAGATCTTGTCTGTAACAGTCAGAAAATGCAATTCCACGTCGTCATACGCTGGTAGATTTGAGGAAATATTGACCGACAGAGACCGTTAAGAAAGCCCAAAGAGGATAGCAGTCAGCAGTTTGCCTGTGGTAGTAATCTCCATTGTCCATATTCCTGCTGCGGATCCCAGGGCGAAACTTATCAATGGCCGCCGAACTATCCAAAACACTCCAAAGGGCCTATTCTGCCTGCATCCTACGGACTGAAGTTACTCTAAAAGGAGGTAAATTCGGAATGAGATCACACCCCGGGGCGAAACCACAGCAAAGTTATTCAGGTTTTATTTTATTTGGTTTCGAGGTAGAAGATTGCAAGTACAAGTTACCCAAGCAAATAATGTTGTCATTGATATCATCATGATGTAAACAAAGTTAGTCAAAAGAAGTATGAGGAAAATAAGATTGCAATTGTAAAATGTCACCATACTCGTGGTGGATAAAAGGGGCCAAAAGAAAACGAACTGCGAAGGTGGCGCTCTTACAGGGGGAGAAAGTACATGATAGAGGGATGCTCCAACGAAACAATCCAAATTCGAGAGATGGAGCTGGTACGGTTCTGTCACCACCAGAGTATGGCTAGAAATATAAGTCAGTGAAAACACCCATAGGCATAATTCGGTCTCCAAATCTATGGAAACATGAAATGTTATCCTTGATTGTATATTATCAACTCTTCATTGTCCCATGTTTTGATATGACACAGCGGTGAGATTTTATAGGCATACATACAGGCACTTCTGTGGGTCTTGGGGTCGCGATTGTGGATGTGATGGGAAGTACTTGAAGGGGAAAGGGGGTTGTCACGGCGACGGGACTGAAATCTGCGGGCATTGTGTTAACAGAGCACCGCTTCTCAAAATGTCTCAGTCTCATCGCATGCAGCTTGTACAGGGTTTGTCAAATCTTCTAGAGGAGCACTCTTCTGATCCTTCCCCTGCTCAGTGACCTCTGGCGTTGAAGCCATAGTGCGGGGTGCGGGATGGATAACTTCCATGGGCATTTGGGAATAATCTTCTATCCTGATTTCTGGCACAATAACACGGGCGAAGGAATCCAGGACCATCGTTTCTTGCTCCTCCACCGTCCGTGTGTTTTCTGCCACATTCTGCTCATGCCGCTTTGGACTTACAGTTTTCACCGGTGTTTTATCTTCTGCTTTTTCCTCAGTGGTTGCTGCAACTTCAGAGTCCTCCAGCTGGCGGTTGGTGTCTGAGACGACATCGTCCTCTTTACCATCGTCTGTGACGGTGGGCGGAAGACCGCGCGGTTCTTCTGTTCCTTGCTGCTCCTCACGCCCAACTAACGGATCCGCCGATACGGTATCACCTGGGGCGGATTCAGGGCATTTACTCGAATTCTCATCAGGCTCGTTCTGGTCGTCTTTCTTTTCTGATAATGAATCCTTCCTGAAGACAGTTTCCTGCGCTGGTTTAGACTCCTCTGATGAGCTAGGCTGCGAACCTTCAAGCCCTGTTTCTAGAGAATGCTCTGTGGGAACATATTTTTGCTCAGCAGACGAGGCATCGGTACCGATCTTTGATTCCCTCTCGTCTGCTACGTGGCCCAAAACTTCCTCACCTCCTCCAGCTGTATGCGGCGAGGTGTCATCGGTCAGCGATTCCGACTCTTTTTCACCTTTTTTAGGGTTAAACGTCGAGACTAAAAAGGCCTTTAAGACTGAACCCAGAGATGCCTCCTTCTTAACTTCATCGATGTCCTGGTCGGCGACCTTCTCTTGACCTTCTCCATCTTCAGTCACACTTGTAGCTCCATTTAGTGAAGATGGAGATTGAAGGCCAGATCCCGCTTCTTTCTCGGCTGCAACCTCAACAGGTGTCTTCTCGGCATCTCTAGAGGCATTCTCTTCCTCAGTTGTAATGTTGGGCGTCGTCTCGTGCAGATGCTTGTCTTCTGCATCAGGTGAATGAAGACTTGGGG